TTAAGTCCAAATGTTATTTGGTAGTATGTTTTCAGTTTCCAGATACAAAGGACTTTTTCAGCTATCTTTTGGTTGCTGATTTCCATTTATATTCTCCATTTTTTTTTTTTTTTTTTTTTGGAGATGGACTCCCGCTCTGTCGCCCAGGCTGGAGTGCAGTGGTGCGATCTTGGCTCACTGCAACATCTGCTTGCCAGGTTCAAGCGATTCTCCTGCCTCAGCCTCCTGAGTAGCTGGGACTACAGGTGTGCACTACCACGCCTGGCTAATTTTGTATTTTTTCAATTTTTATTGAATTTTTTTTAGAGTTTCGCTGTCAGCAGGCTGGAGTACAGTGGCACAATCTCAGCTCACTGTAACCTCTGCCTCCCAGGTTCAAGCGATTCTCCTGCCTCAGCCTCCCAAGTAGCTGGGACTACAGGTGCACGCCACCACACCAAGCTAATTTTTTGTATTTTTAGTAGAGACGGGGTTTTACCATGTTAGCCAAGATGGTCTCGATCTCAACCTCGTGATTCACCCACCTCGGCCTCCCAAAGTGCTGGGATTACAGGTGTGAGCCACCACGCCTGGCCTGATAAAATGTTTTGTTACATTAGTTTATTTACATTTATTAATATAATTTATATTTCTGGTATTTTGATCTTAACCCTCTTGTGCAATGTATTTCATATTTACTCTTCATTGTTTTACTTTTACAGTGCTTCATTCTCTGTATGATTGTGTTTATTTTTATATTTCTTGGGAATGATGGTAAGAGGGGGGGAAAAACCCGAGATCTCAAATTAACAACCCAATTTAAAAACTTAAGGAACTAGGCTGGGTGCGGTGGCTCACGCCTGTAATCCCAGCACTTTGGGAGGCCCAGGCAGGCGGATCACGAGGTCACGAGATCGAGACCATCCTGGCTAACATGGTGAAACCCCGTCTCTACTAAAAATACAAAAAATTAGCCTGGTGTGGTGGCGGCGCCTGTAGCCCCAGCTACTTGGGAGGCTGAAGCAGGAGAATGGTGTGAACCCGGGAAGCGGAGCTTGCAGTGAGCCTAGATCGCGCCACTGCACTCCAGCCTGGGCGACACAGCGAGACTCCATCTTGAAAAAGAAAAAAACAAAACAAAACTTAAGGAACTAGAAAAAGAACTAAACACAAAGATAGCAGAAAAAAGGAAATAATGAAGATTAGAGCAGAGATCAATGAAATAGAGAACAGAGAAACAGAAAATTAATGAAACCAAAAGTTGGTTATTTGAAAAGATCAACAAAATTGACAAACCTTTAGCTAGACGGACTAGGAAAAGACAAGAAGACTCTAATTACTAAAATCAGAAATGAAAGTAGGAGCATTACTACCTATTCTACGCAAATGAAAAGGATTATAAGAGGGTACTATGAACAACTGTATCCCAACAAATTGGATAACCTAGATGACATGGACAAATTGCTAGAAACATAAAACCTACCAAGATGATACCACAAAGAAACAGAAATTCTGAATAGACCTATGATTATTACGGAGACTGAATCGGTAATCAAATATCTCTTGACAAAGAAAACCCCTGGACCCCACACCTTCACTAGTAAATTATACCAAACATTTGAAGAATTCGAATCCTCAAACTTTTCCAAAAGCTTGGAGAGAAGGAAAAACTTCCTCATTCTGTGAGGCCAGCTTTACCCCAGTACCAAAGCTAGACGAAGACACTACAAAAAAACTACAGGCCACTGTTTCTTACTGAGCACTGATGCAAAGATCCTCAGCAGGGCACGGTGGCTCACATCTGTAATCCCAGCACTATGGGAGGCTGAGGCAGGCGGATCATTTGAGGTCAGGAGTTCGAAACCATCCTGGCCAACATGGTGAAACCTCCCCCCCATCTCTACTATAAATACAAAAAATTAGCCGGGTGTGGTGGCACATGCCTGTAGTCCCAGCTACTCAGGAGGCTGAGGCAGGAGAATCGCTTGAACCCCAGAGGTGGAGGTTGACAGGGAACCGAGATCGTGCTACTGCACTCCAACCTAGGTGACAGAGCAAGGCTCCATCTCAAAAAGAAAAAAAAGGCCAGGCGTGGTGGCTCATGCCTGTAATCCCAACACTCTGGGAGGCCGAGGTGGGTGGATCACAAGGTCAGGAGTTCAAGGCCAGCCTGACCAACATGGTGAAGCCCCGTCTCTACTGAAAATACAAAAAAAAATTAGCCGGGTGTGGTGGCATGTACCTGTAATCCCAGCTACTCAGGAGCCTGAGGCAGGAGAATTGCTTAAACCTGGGAGGCGGAGCTTGCAGTGAGCCAAGATCGCACCACTACACTCCAGCCTGGGCGATAGAACAAGACTCTGTCTCAAAAAAAGAAAAAAAAATTTCCAGGTGAGAATGCAGTGGCATGATCGTAGCTCACTGCAGCCTCAACCTCCCAGGCTCAGGCAATCCTTGTGCCTCAGCCTCCTGAGTTGCACCACACTCAGCTAATTTATTTTTTTGTAGAGACTGGGTCTCACAATGTTGCCCAGGCTGGTCTCGAACTCCTGAGCTCAAGCAGTCCTCCCACTTCAGCCTCCCAAAGCGTTGGGATTACAGGCCTGAGCCACCGCACCCAGCCTTAGTCTGTTTTTGGAATACTTGAAACTGAGTCATTTATAAAGAAAAGGAATATCTCGTAATTCTGGAGGCTGGGAAGTCCAAGGTCAAGGGGCTGCCTCTGGTGAGGCCTTCTTGCTGATGGGGACTCTGCAGAGTCTGGAGGTGGCACAAGGCACCACAGGATGGGGGCCGAGCGTGCTCACGTGCTAGTTCAGGTCTCTCTTCCTCTTCTCGTGAAGCCACTGGTTCTTCTCCCATGATAACCCATTAATCCACTAACCCATGAAGCCATTACTCCACGAATGGCTTAATCTCTTGAGGGCAAAGCCCTCATGATCCAATCACCTCTTAAAGGCTCCCCTCTTAGTACTGCCACGCTGGAGATGAAATTTCCACGTGAGTTTTGGAGGGGGCACACAAACCATGGCAACCTTGAAACCATCTATAGGAGAGTTTCTAAAGGAGATACACCTCAAAATCAGAAAGTGCAAAAGACATGCAATATAAGACTCAGAGAGTTAAGAGACCAGGAAAGCAGGAGATTGCACTTTTTTTTTTAATTAACAGCAGTTTGGAACCAAAATTCCAAGTAAATTCTGTTTATTTCCTGTTCTACTCCTTCGGGATGATGGTGAGGACAGGCTACATATCATAGCCCATACAGCATACTAAGAGAATCCAGGTCCAGGATCCCAGATTTCTGGAGATTTCTACCAAGCAGCAGTGCCCAAGATCAGCTGTGACGATGAGGATGTGCCATTGCATGGCACATGGCCCAGAGTCACCAGTTTATTGCATATTGGTCATCTTCACTACCTGACTTCACACAAGTCAATCCAGGGTTTGCCTAGTTCCCTCCTGACGCCTTCTCTCTCCACAAGATCCGCTCCCTCCTATATTGGCTGATCTGTTGGCCAGATGCAATGGCTCACACCTAGAATCTTTGCACTTTGGGAGGCCGAGGTGGGAGGATTGCTTGAGCTCAGGAATTCAAGACCAGCCTGGGCGACATGGTGAAACCCCATTCTATAAAAAATACAAAAGCTAGGGCCGGGTGCAGTGACTCATGCCTATAATATCAGCACTTTGGGAGGCTGAGACAGGCAGATCACCTGAGGTCAGAAGTTCGAGACCAGCCTGGCCAACATGCTGAAACCTCTACTAAAAATACAAAAATTAGCCAGGCATGGTGGTGTGGGCCTGTAATCCCAGCTTCTCAGGCGGCTGAGGCAGAAGAATCGCTTGAAACTGGGAGGCAGAGGTTGCAGTGAGGCGAGACTGCACCACTGCCCTCGAACCTGGGAAACAGAGTAAGACTGTATCTCAAAAATCAAACAAACAAACAAACAAACAAAAACAAAAACAAAAATACCACCAAAAACTAGCTGGGCATGGTGGTGTGCACCTGTAGTCCCAGCTATTCAGGAGGCTGAGGTGGAAGGATCACTCGAACCCAGGAGCCACAGGTTGCAGTGAGTCAAGACCACACCACTACACACCAGCCTGGGTGACAGAGCCAGACCCTGTCTCTAAATAAATAAATAACCTGAGATGTTTCTCCTCAATTTGCTAACTTAACCATTTAATGCTTCCACAGACTAGATTCTCCCTCTGATCACAACTTCCCACTTGTATGAGTTAAGACTTAGGTTCGGCTGTGAGCAAAAGAAAACCTGAAACAGTGCATACACAGTGGCTGATTTCGCTCCCATGGAAATGCTGTCCCCAATGCGAGTGGGCCCAGTGACAGTGGAGCTCCACTCCCCAGATGGCTGTGTGCCCAGCAGCCTGCTGCCTGCGGGTTCATTCGCAAGGGTCTATGAAAATAAGTAATTCAGAATCCGTGTTGTTGGAACTTTAAATTACTTTGAGCCTTAAAGTAAGGGAGGAGACCACCCCTCATATCGTCTTATGCCCAATTTCTGCCTCCAAAGAAAGAAGTAAAAACTAAAAGGCACAGCGGGGCGCGGTGGCTCACGCCTGTAATCCCAGCACTTTGGGAGGCTGAGGTGGGCGGATCATCTGAGGTCGGAAGTTCGAGAGCAGCCTGAACAACATGGAGAAACCCCATCTCTACTAAAAATACAAAAATTATCTGGGCGCGGTGGCGCACACCTGTAGTCCCAGCTACTAAGGAGGCTGAGGCAGGAGAATCGCTTGAACCCAGGAGGCGGAGGCTGCAGTGAGCCAAGATTGTGCCACTGCACTCCAGCCTGGGCAACGGTTTAAGACTCTGTCTCAAAAATAAATAAATAAATAAATAAATAAATAAGACACATCCAGGAGTGCTTAGAGCAGCATCATGTTGCAGAGCAAGAGCCCTAAACCACCTCCGGTCAGTAGCAGAATGGAGAAACTGGAGTCTGTTCATACCTCACAGCGAGAAACACCCTTCTTGAGCCACGTCAAAGACTCACCAACAACGCCGAATTGCAAAAGCTGAGGAATATGTCCATGCACCTCTTACAGCCTTCAGAAATTCAAAATACAACGTATGTAGAGATACATATCCCTGTGGTAAAAATTTTAAGAAAGACATAAGAAGTCAGATTCTGCAGCAACCACCTTTGACAGGAGGAGACAAAGGGATCCAAGTGTGTCAGTGATACTCTATTTCTCACGTCGCATGGCAGGTCCGTAGCCACACATTCACTTTTTTTTTTTTTTTTTTTTTTTTGAGACGGAGTCTTGCTCTGTGCCCCAGGCTGGAGTGCAGTGGCGCGATCTCGGCTCACTGCAAGCTCCGCCCCCCCGGGTTCACGCCATTCTCCTGCCTCAGCCTCCCGAGTAGCTGGGACTACAGGCACCTGCCACCTCGCCCGGCTAATTTTCTTGTATTTTTAGTAGAGACGGGGTTTCACCGTGTTAGCCAGGATGGTCTCGATCTCCTGACCTCGTGATCCGCCCGTCTCGGCCTCCCAAAGTGCTAGGATTACAGGCTTGAGCCACCGCGCCCGGCCACATTCACGTTTAACTTTTGTATGATGAAATACCTCCAAGTTTTAAACACACATGGCAAAAACACAGATTATGGCATCATGGTCCTGCGGATGTGAAATGAGGATATAAGAATACACATGGATCATTCTAGGGAAGTACCCCTAGGTATGAATTTTGAAACAATCAACTTTTCTTGGGTGCAACAAGGCTACGTTCCAATGGAAAGGGGTGCCCACCGTGACAGCCAAGTAGAGACCGGCATGATCACTTTAACACCTGCTGTCACAGCATAAGGCCCAACTCCGTCTCGTGCTCAAGCCTGGGTACGTGTTAAAACCACTGCCCGGGCTTTTGAAACTGCCCTTGTCCCGGCTCCACCTGACTTACTCAGCCAGAATTGGAGAACAAGGCAGGCTCTTTTCAGTTCTCCAGGGAACTTCGCAGCCAAGGTTGAGAAACATCCAGTATAGGACACTAATTTGCCTAATAATTCAGGAACTTGGTGAAGACCAAGTTAGAGCCAAAAGTTAAAGGTCAAGTCTGGTGAATGTGGTGCTGATGGTGTGACTGTAGCAGTCGTGGAGAGCTCCAGGCTCTCGGCCTCGGCCCTAGACACCTGGCCTAAAAGCCCTCCGGCACCTGAGGGGTGAGCCTTACAGATGACATGAGTTAATGTGCCTCAATCGCTCCGAAGCAGGGCCTACCATAAACACACGATCTGCCACCTTTTCAAGGAAAGGAACTGTTTTGGGAAAAGTGTTAATTAAATACTTCAATAAGGAGGATCACGATTACTCTTCAGGCTTCATGAACAGGCTCCCAAACCTGTGAAGGAAGCACAAACTCGAACCTCTCAGTCACTGTGTGGAATTTCTCATCCAACCTGCTGAAGGAGGAAACACAGAGGACACGAGAGGCGGGTGACAGTGGACCAGTGAAGAGCTCTGGAGAATGAGGGACAGAGGGTAAAATCCTGACTCTCACTCGTGTCCCTCTATATTTTTTGCAATAAGAATCTATTTGAGGCCAGGCGCGGTGGCTCACGCTTGTAATCCCAGCACTTTGGGAGGCCGAGGCAGGCAGATCACAAGGTCAGGAGATCGAGACCATCCTGGCTAACATGGTGAAACCCCGTCTCTACTAAAAATACAAAAAAATGAGCCGGGCGCGGTGGCGGGCGCCTGTAGTCCCAGCTACTCGGGAGGCTGAGGCAGAATGGCATGATCCCGGGAGGCGGAGCTTGCAGTGAGCCGAGATAGTGCCACTGCACTCCAGCCAGGGGGACAGAGCAAGACTCCGTCCCAAAAAAAAAAAAAAAAAAAAAAAAAAGAATCTATTTGATAGTGTTAATTACCAAAAGCCTGGCTACTGCAGGGAGGGCAGGCTAGCTTTTGCTTTTAAGGTGGTAGATTCAAAAGCAACTGAACAGTGAGTGGGAAGGGGACGAGGAAGACATCATCGGTTCAGCAAGGTCCCCAAGGAGGGCTAGAGTCGGGATCAGAGCCAGATGGGTGACTTAGGACGGGACAGGACGTGCTGCTCCACAGTGCGAGAGCTGGCTGGCAGCAGAGGCCACAGCTGGGGGCGATGACTATGGAAGCTGCGGGGGACGGTGCCATGCCTTCAGCAGCTGCCTTTCCTCCACTCCCCGTTACCATCTTTGTCCCCCGAGGTGTCCCAGACGGACTGCCACAACCACCCCACCCTCCTCCTGCCCCCACCAGCCCCTTTCACATCATCGCAGAGCCCTCCGGAGTTCCCCGTCAATGTACCCGCCTGCCCAGCCAAGCCTCCACATGGTGACCCATGCCACCCATCCTTTCACGAAGAGGCCCAGAGCATGTGGGCGACAGCACAGGGCCCCATCACCAAAGCATCACTTGCCAGGTGACACTGGGCAAGTTGTCCTTGACCTCTGAGAGCTGTGTCCCCAGCTGGGAAACAGGGCAACCCATCCATCCTCCTGGGACTCTGCAGGCCAAAGCGGATGAACTGAAAGCTCTACAGCCCTGGTGGGCTGGAAGTCATTAGAAAAGAAAGCAAAGCAAGCCCCTCAGGACAGTCACACGGCTGAGGTTGGGTATTTCACTTTATTTAGCAAACGGTCACACTCGGCCCCACCACACCACCCTGCAGCCTCGCTTGAGCATTTGTCTCAGGAAGCAGCTCAGGGTGAACAGGAAAGCCTGGGTTTCCCAGTTCAGGCCTCATCTGCCGCCACACGTGCCACACGCCACAAAACAAAATCACTTCCCCACGTCCTCAGGAGCCCACCCCAGTGTGGTTCGGGGGACCCTCCAGTGTTCAACAGCTGCCTGCAGGGGCTGCAGCCCAGCTCTAGGCACAGACCCCTGCACTGAGACGCCAGCCCCAGGAGAGCCTCCGTCTCCAGCTGCAGAGGTGCCAGACCCTGAGCCTCGGCTCTGCCACCTGTCCCTGCTGGGCAAGAAGCAAAATGTATGAAAATACTTTAATCATTTATTTGAAACGGTTAAGAAATAAGGTCATCTTGTTCTTCTATAATCCCAGTAAAAAAAAAAGTTCACATTGGCTCCTGGGCCCAGGCGCAGGCCACGCTGGTGCAGGCCCCGCTGGCGCAGGCCCCGCTGGTGGTGCCGCTCAGTAGAAGCGCTTGTTCCGCTCCTGCCGCTTCTGGAACACCACGGCCCCCACCACGGCGCAGACGACAATGCCCAGGAGCGCGCACAGCAGCAGCAGGAACACCCGCCACCCTGTCAGGGGCCCGCTGCGGAAGTTCCCCGTGGGGTCGTCCACGTTGTCTGGGGGAGAAGAAACAGGAGCTGAAACAGCAGCGCAGGCCGGGAAACAAGGGGCTGCAGGACAGCAGTGGGGATGGAACAGGACAGCAGGCGACGGTGCACAGGCCAGTCGCACTCACTCCCCTCACCCGGGAGGGGCAGAGGTCAGGTGAAGCCCATCCCAGCCAGCTCTGCAGTCCCCAGGGCAGGGCAGGGCAGAGAGAGGACCAAGCCCCAGGGACCCGGGACCCCAGCGGCTCAGGCCTGGGCTGCCTTCTGCTGCAGGAAGCCGGTTAAAACCAGAGTCCTGGGCTCCTCCAAGCCCAACTCTGGATAAGGGGAGGCCCAGGAGGCTGCTTTTCCAAGCCCCGCCCCCACACTGTGGTCTGAGGGCCCTATCTGGAACAACGCGGCCCAGGTCACAGGCTGCCCCAGCCCACAGCTGGATACTCTAGGCAGCCCCCTCGGAGGGTCTCCCAGGACCTGAGTCCCACACTCCACCCCAGCCCACAGCCTCTCTCCTCCACACCGGGTCCTCACGGGTCCTGCCCATCCTGGGATGGGGCCCTCTGGTGCACTCCCTTGTCCAGGCTGAGAGAAGACACTGACTCTCCCAAGCTCTCCAGGCTGTGTGCGGAGGAGCTGGGGTCTGGCTGGGCCGTTTCTGCCACTCTGCCTCCCTCCCTGACTGCGGCCCCCGACTCCACACTGTGCAGTCTCCTCAGGCATCCCCACACCCAGGCCTCGGGCCCAGGCCCTGCCTTTCAGCAGTGCACATGCCACCTTCTTGCCAGCCACAAGCCAACCTCCATCCTCCCTTCCTGCACAAGCTGCCACCAGCAGGCCTGCTGGCCACTCTCACCCCCACCTCTGCTCTACACACCAACAGCAGTCACTGACTGAACCGGGAGGTCCCTAGGGATGGCGCTTCCCCAGAAAGCCACTCAGCCTCGGGGCTCCCGCGGCTCCCTCTGTCTCCTTGTCTGCCTCAGCCCCTAGAATGAGCCCCAGGGTCAGGGCCTGCCTGATCTCCGTGTCTCCAGCACCCAGCCCATAGCTAGGCACAGAGGGCAGCTTTGATCACATCCGAAGGAACAAATGGACTGAATCTAAAAACGAGTTCATCCTGCCTTGCCAGCTGCCCAGGACGCTGGGTGGGCAAGACAGGTGCCTCCTCTGAAAGCACCCAGCGGCTGGCAGCCCTCTGACCAAAGGCTGCAGCAAGGTTTGTGTGGCCCCCGAAACGTTTTAAAATAACCTGAATCTTTAAAAAGTGAATTGTTGGCTGCACACGGTGGCTCACGCCTGTAATCCCAGCACTTTGGGAGGCCAAGATGGGAGGAACACAAGGTCAAGAGATCGAGACCATCCTGGCTAACACGGTGAAACCCCGTCTCTACTAAAAATACAAAAAAATTAGCCAGGCATGGTGGCAGGCACCTGTAGTCCCAGCTACTCAGGAGGCTGAGGCAGGAGAATGGCATGAACCTGGGAGGCGGAGCTTGCAGTGAGCCAAGATTGCACCACTGTACTCCAGCCTGGGCGACAGAGCAAGACTCTGTCCCCTCCAAAAAAAAAAAAAAAAAAAGTGATTTGTCACATAAAACACTGGATCCTGGCTTCTCCTGAAAAGCAGAAAGATGCAGCCAAACTGGCCCATGCGGCATGGGGACCCAAGGCTGGGCTAGGACAGAGCCCGCGCTGTGCACACTTGCGTCACTGGCTGGACCCCCAGGCATGCATCTGTGGTTCTTAGGGTGGACTTCTCCACACACAGGTGCCTCATTCCAACCACAATGTTCACTCTGTGAGGAAAGGGGTAGCTAATTAGTGCCACGGGAAGAACCCAGGCTCCGGGTTTTGTAGAAACCCAATTTCCAATCCTGCCTTCTCCCTCCTTCTAGCTAAGGAATCCACCCCTTGGCCAGCAGCACGACCT